TCGACTACCTCACATTTTACTATTTACGAATAGTAAAGTGTAACGTCCAGCAGCAAGTAAGCGGTGAACATTCAACAGACCAACACAAATGCATCAAGGTTTGAATGAAAGCGCATAAACTAAATAACATTTTCACGTGCGGTTAGGACAGAATATGGGTGTTGCGACGTGTGGCTGGTAACTGTCTGTTGGCAGTCCAGACAGTGGTCTAAAAATAGAGCCAGTAGACATAACGAAATATCGACCTCTCTCTCAAGCACATTTCAGTTTTTCGTGAGACGCCATGAAAATTAACCTTTCAAAATCACCAACAGAGCCTCTCCTCCTCTCTTCCCTGGGTCGAGTACCCTACTGTGCAGGTTAAAACCTTATTTAAAGCACCATTGTGTGCAAGACTGATCTTAGACTGCGTAAACCGATCTGATCGTGTCACTAGTGAGGCTTTATGTAACTCAAAACCCCAAGTCCCAGGGTTTAGACTGCCGATTTCCATCGCTGAACAGCAGGTCTTCATGACTATGAGGTTTGCCCCGTTTGCTATTCACCACACTAAGGTGTCTTTTTTTTAAAAATATGGTGACCGAGAATATTCTGTTACCAGTAATCCAGAAAGCGATTAACGTAAGTTTTACTAACTTTGGCAGATAAGGAGAAAGTTGAATAACTGCACGTTGTTTTTTTGGATTCTAAGCAGCAAATCGAGAGCAATGACCAAATAAATTACTTAGAAATTTAGATGTTATCACCGTCAAACCTGGGGTAACACGGAATGTCCTTTTGTCTAGTTATAACACAGAAATTTCCGTTTTACAAGGCACCATTTTGCAATGTTCATGCTTAAAAATACATTTATTAGACCAGTTATTTCATGAAGGATTTATGTTGCTTTATCTTTAATGTGCCCCAGAACAGATTAGTGAAGTAGGCTTTTCTTCTCTGGAAGAAACCTTAGTGGAAGATGGAAAAGTCATTATACCCGATGAATGTGATCAATCAATTAATCATCACCTGCCATCGACATACTGACTAAGTTGAACACTAAGTGAGGCAAACAGCAGATGGCGCGAATGCTATACATGTGCTAGGTAGCAATCTAAACCCTAGTGAATCAAAATGCACAAGGTCCCAATCGAATGATCGTGTTTAGCCAAACGACAACATAGCTGTAATTGACATGCATTCAGTACTCCAAGCGCGAGAAGTTCACTTGTAAAACTATGAAAAGCACAAAACGTTAATCTAGATTACCTACAGGTGCTCTTCACCGATGAACGGTTGGTCTTTTCGGGGAGTTTCAAAACATGGTTTAACATTTTCACTCACCGCCATAACAAACGATGTTTTGCTGACTCACAAATACCAATTGGTTCTGCGCAACAATCATGGAAATACCTTACTTTCTAGTGAATAAAATTAATGGAAAAAATCGGTAACATCGAATTGAGTTGAATTTGAGTAACTTTGAAAAGCAGAACTCACGCATTCCCGGAGCGGCCATAAGAATACGAGAGATCAAAACTTTGCCGATCGCTCGACGCCCAACAACTGCTGACTTTCCCAGTGGTTCACCATTCTCATCGGTGATTGGTGTACCCTCGGAGAATTCGACGCTGCGCATGCACGGAATATTGATACAGTTAGCCGCGGCCACAGCGATAAAAGGAACGAAGCGTCCAACAAGCGGTGGGAAACGCTACAAGCAAACGGGGGTGACAAGTTGTGAGATTTGTTGGATAACCCGAGAATCGAAGTTCCACTCTCCGACAATTGCACAGAGTGAATCAAGGCCAAACCAGAGGTAGCAGTAGTAGATCAGCGGAGTTGCTCTCGTGAACAATATGTGATACTGCCTAACCCACAATAGTAGACTTCTGATAGGAATTATGATAAAGGGAAATTCGTGACTGGTAAGTCAAACGGCGCATTCCGAAAACGACTTGACAGTTATCAAACTGTTCGTATACACTTATTTCTTTTCAAATGTCTGTGACCAGTTACTCCACTGAACAAACAGTGAAGTTGGATAAGTGCAGTGCTGTGTTCTGTGGAAATGATTCACTTTGTGGAAAAAGTTTGTTCCAAAAGATAAACAGCACGTTTTCCGTAGCTATTCATCGTTTTATTTCAGCTATGTGAAGTGGGATGATCATTTTGTGGAGTGAATATACCGAGTGAACACACCCGAGATTGAGAATAAAATGAAAAAAAAAAACAGAAATCAATGAAGAATCGCGAAAACTAGAAACGGCATGACAATGAAAGACATACCTCAACTTGCTTGTTGATCCCTAATGCCGTCACCACGGCACCGGTAGTTGCAAGTGCATAAGAAACGCCCAAGCGACTGGAAGATAAAAAGAAGATAAATTGGGGCTAAACACAAATCGACTGTTCCGAT